AGACAGTAGGATCCCTAATGATCAGCTTCGGCTGGATGGACCACCCACATTGAAGATTTTTATTATTTTGCAAACACATTTTTAAAATGAATATTTGCATGCAATATTATTAGGTCTACATAAATCGTCATCTGGATTTCGTTAGGGTGCATAGGTTACATGTTTATTCATGAATGTATAATGAAGCTATATTATGGTAATTCCCTGCACTGATTACAAGTAGCAGTTAGGCCTACGTGTTAATTCTAGAATGGCTGATACTTGCTGTGAACAGTTACAGGTAGCAGTTGCATCGTGTTATTTCTAGACTAACAGTCGACCAAGCACATATTGCTCATTATAATAGACATATTAAAGGTGTTCAGTTAAGAACAAACGAGGAAGGAGGATATTTTAAATCTAAAAAGAGCAGGCTTTATTTACACACAAGACTCAAAGGTAGGTGTTGAAAGGGCCGAAGGCCGAAGCCGGAGGTGGGTATGAGTGGAGGATGTCCCCTCCTCCTAAAACAAGATTATTTTTTTTAATTGGGACTTCTAGATGGCCGGAAATGGCTGGGATGGGATAACTAGGCCTATTTTTTTTTTTTTTTTTTTGGTCCGACTGCCCGACGAGCTTTGGCCGATGGGCGGGCTTGATGGGGTGGGGCTTACACAAAGTTGATTGCAGGCTTAGTTGCAGTTGTAGACCTGTACTATTATCAGTCTTAGGCATAAAAAATGACAGTAGAATCATTAAACAATTATTGGGTGGTTTGAAGGTAGGCCTATTTGTGAGTATTAACGAGCAACATAATTGACAAAAACGATTGTAGACTAATGTATCGTGTCCCTAAGTTGTAAGAGGCCATGTAGACAGATCGAATCCAGAGCCTTTTCGCTCCATGATCAGACATCAATTATAAGGGTTATGTTATCATAACTTTTGTCTGACATCTAACTAGCGCTTTTCTTCCCGAAGTGTAAAAATAGTACAAATTCTCTTTGAAAAGTGCTGATATGTCAAAATTTGGTGTGACGATTAAGGTTAATTGTTATTAGACCACCGGTAGCTGTGGCTCACACACACTATGTGCCCAGCCATTAATACATTACGGGTAACTTCCGACAGATTGTCTCTGTCGGTTTTTCTGAATCAAAACAAATAACACGTCCATCTAAAGTACATTAAACTGAAGACTCCACTTAGGCCTATAAAGACGTTTGACGGCTAAAAAAAGTTTTAATATCGGTTTCTCATCAATGTCGGACGAGGTCACCCTCATAGAACGAGAGCTCTCAGTATGGATTTCAATAGACGTACGGTAAGTCTAAACTAGATTAATTTGCACTGTACTTGGTGTACACTTTTTATAAGAATATTGAGGCTGAAATGTACTCCTTAAAAATAAGAACAAAATAAGAAAAAATTGATGCTGGTAAAATGTCAGTGAGGTTATTAATTTTTTTTTAAATAGAAAAACCAAACAAATCTTAAATGTACCTGTACCTTATAAGGTGCGGTAGGTATGACTTACGTAAACCCTCTATAAACAATACAGATATTATAATGCTGTACAAATTGTCTATCTTTGAAACAGTGTGTAAAACAAGAAAATAAGAATATTTCGAGCCTGAAAGCGGCAAAATAAGAACGCAGAGCCTGGGCAAAAAATTACTGGTTCTTATAAAACAATCATCACAATTCCATTCCATCATACCGGTACCTCTTCCGCGTACGTATTTCCTATAATCATCCAGAACTGTTTTGCCATCGGCCCTAACATGGAATATACAAAACAAAAAAATCTTACCACGTTTAGAATAATATTTATAAGAAGCCTATTTGCACATCAATCGCATATTCATTCTCAAACATCCTATTGAAGGCAATTGTTTTCATTCTCATGTGTATCAGCATTAATGTACGATGCACCCACGTGAAACAGAGATATGTCTACTTGGATTTGACCTGCTGTTCAAAAATGATTATTGTGAGGTAAAACGTGATTCTATGTTTCTTTTCTTATTAGAACGTTGTCCTGACAATTTTAAATTAAATAATAAAATAAAAAATCAATTATGGCCTCACAATTGTCATTTCGGAGTTGCAATACATAATATTCTATTTACGATTAAAAACGGTCTATTATTTATAGTATGGATTAAAGGTGACAATGTTATAATAAAGAACAATATATACAATCAATTATGGCCTCACAATTGTCAATTCGGAGTTAAAATACACATATTCTATTTACGATTAATTCTGCTAATGTGCAAAACGCATATGAGGTGCATGAAACGGTGTATTGTTTATAGTATGGATTAAAGGACGAATGATTCAACCATTAATCTTTGTACTTTTTTAGACTCGGGAAGAATGATAGTGCTACTTTTATTGCTGCTTCGTTCGTTCTCTTCTTTATAGGCTGCTACGTCTCCCATAAGCCAGTGATGACGGGCCTTTTTGTTAAAAAGGGGAGACTTGAAAAATGTAAATGTTTTGTTCTCGAAGTAAATTCAATAACTACCTTATGCTTACAATGGAACTTACAAGCGTAAATGCATTTCAGATGAGAGTCAAACAAATACAAACAACTGACCTTTGAACACCATACACATAATTTTATTCTATATACACACTGTCACACATTGTTATATTCACAATTATTATAATCATTTATTCTTTTGGGGATCGTTCTTTAAAAGGAATAAAATAAAATACTGCATTTGAAATAAAAAATATTATTCAAGAAAGCTATAAGAATTATGGACATTTTTGAAACGTTTATCATTGTTAAATTAAAAATCTTTCAATAAAATACAATCGCCACATCGCTTAAAGAAGCGAAAATGGACTTTTGGCATAAAATGGTTGATATACATACTTAAAAGAAATGATGTATCATCAAATTTATCTATTAAAAAAAAGTAAAACTGATTTGATTTTTAAACAATTGGGAATTTAACATTGGATGGCTTTCTATATTATACTGTGTTCCAAATATTTTTTTAATGTGCAGTACGAATACCAACAATATTTATTATTAATTTTCCATAATTTGTTTATTTCTGAAAATCCTGGACTGAATGGGTTAGTTACAACATGGAGGAAGAAAATATTATTTTCTTCCTCCATGGTTACAATAAACTTTGAATGCATTAGTCAAATAATTAAAAGAAATACAGTGTACACTCCATTTCAAGACCCCTCTAAATCAAGACCACTTTTTCGAAAAACCAAATTACAATCTTCAATCTATAAACACTAAGTTAACCCTCTATGTCGAGACCAAACCCCAAAACCACTCCAAATATTCAGGTCCCAAGGATGGTCTCAAATTAGAGGGCTGTAGATGGAAATATTGTGATTGTATTAAACATTGAACAAACAACATTAATTCAGGAATCCAACAGATATAATGGATCTTACGTCAAGCACCCCACTTGACACCCCAGAAAGCTCTATTGCATCAAACATCATATAACTATTTGTAAAGATGCTTCATTGAATATTTTTTAATTATATAAAGAACTCGTTCGTTAATGGCAACAGCGCACTTTTTTCTCTCTCCAAAAATGTGTTATTTTGCAAATCAAGCAATTACTTTCATTCAACTATTAAACGTCTAGAATATATCCCACGTCACCAACAATTTATTGACTTAAAACCAACCCACGCGAATAGATTTTCACATGACCTGAAATCAGTGGACAAACTATATTTCTCTAACTGCATTTTGTGATCTACTCTTTTTCATTTCTTTCATCATAAACCAAGGTTAGATTGAACTTCAAAATAGTATTATGTTTACTGGAAACCAGTTCAATGCATTTAAAAACAACCACACACATGTTTAAAAATCATGTTTAAGTTTGGCACAGGAATAATTAATTGCTGTAAATAGATATATTGGCTAAATTTGATGACTCCTTTAGTGGTTTTGGAGACCAAATTCTATTTAAAAATTATAAATATAACTATTTCATTCTCATATATAAAAACTATGTTTAAACATGGATAAAAACAATAAAATAATTGAGTACATTAAAAACAAAATGAAATTAATTCTTAAGCTTGTGTATTTTATCCACATTTCCCTGAGTCACATTAATCATTAGATTATACAAGATAATGGTCAAATTGGTCGCTCAAAGTACTGTGGCGGCATTGTTTCTTAAAATGCAGCAATTACACAACAAAGCTGTTTTTGCTAATGTTCTTAAGAAACTTAAAAACTTACGTAGAAAACCAAAATCGATGGAATTGACTTAAAATAAAATTTTCAGTGGTTTTTTGTTTTTTTTAAAATTTCATCATAGTTGAAAAGGTCTTTTGAATAAAAGCTAACTGTAATTAGTGGTATGATAAAAAACATTTTATTTGTTTTGAGCTGATAAACTTGTAATAAAATTTCATTTTTTTTTAATTATTTGATAATTAAGTTGCATAGGTTCTTAAATTAGTTGGTAATGAATTCCAAGATTTTCGTAGTAAAACTCATTGACAGTTAGTAACGTATTTCATTCCTAAATGAGCTATTCAACATTAATATTACATTTTCTCTCCATCGCTGACATTTCTTGTTATTGGTAAACAGTAAGTAAGCAAAATTTGATTCCCGCCCACCGACCCAAAGAACTTTTCAATGGCAGAATTGTTGCTTTGTGTGTAAATATTCGGAAATTTAACAAATACTTTTACATTCCCTATCCTGAGATATTTAATATGACTAATAATTGTCGTCAGGAGTTGATATAAAAGTTTGTGCTGCGGATATAATTACTGGTAAGATCGTAAACCGTGAAGCTTATGCCAACCGCAATCGGCCCCTTTATCCAGTTCATACTAAGACCTTTGTAGAGCCCTCCTATTACACCCCCCTCCTGAATGATAAATTTCGCAGTGTTTATGATACTCTCGTAACTGTACGTTGTGATTCCAGCCGTCTGCATACGTCTACGGACTACATCTAAGGGATAGGAAGCCGACTGTCCACAGAGGCCAGCGAAAGCACCGAATAGTAACCTTTCTTGGGGATTGGGATCTGCTCCTTGGTTACGATCTGTAAAAAAAAAAAAATTTTAATATTTTACAGTCAAGCTGTCACTAAGAATGCTACATTTCACCTTTCTATTTTCGTTAAAGTTTAACTAAAATTATGAAGTACCACAAAAATAATGCTGAAAAGTACTTAAAAAAATTTACAAACTTAAGCCGGCACACATGCGCCGGGGGTTCATCAGCAGGGACGATTCCACGGAGAACGCAATGCGATGAATCAAATACAATGAATAATTTTTAATGGTGATCCATTCAGACAGCAACCTACAATCATCGGACGGCTGCACATCGCCAAGCGCTCGCAAGATGGCAGAGATGGATTCGTTGTAAGTAGCAAGCTGCTCGGGCTAGGCTGGTGGAAGTCCCCCAGTGAGTTGCGAGATGTTGGCAGCGCTGTTTCAAAAAAATTCCAATAAAATTGTCTATACATTATGGAACCAGATGAAATTCTTTGAGAATATTTTAACGATTTTATGGATATATTTCCCTATGCTACTGGTTTGATTTGAACAAAATAAATAAATTTCTCTTACCTGCATACATTCCCTTGAGAGTTTCATATATGAAGAAAGAGATGCCCCCATAGGGTATTACACCTAGAATGGTTGGCGTGAAACCGCGGTAGAACGTCCGAACCCCCTCTTCTCGGAAGATTTTTGTAAAGATGTTCAGAAGACCTTTATACCTATAATAAAGACATGAGAGTGCCATTTCAAGATGTTTGTAATTTTGGAATAAAATAAATTAGGATAGAGATATATAGGAATAAAAAAATGAAATAATAAATAAAAAAATAAGTTTGGTATAAAGCCTTACTAAAAATAATAATATTTTTGAAGGGAAAATCTGGTGTTGCAGGATTTGAACCCAGAGCCGTGGAATAGCAAGGCAAGCTACAGCTCCCCTCCACTTTCATTACCATTTTTCATTTGACCTTTCTTCCTAAAAGTTAATCATCTCTTCCTTAGAATATTATGTACCATTCTACTAAATGTTATAATGATCTATTTCTTAGTTTTTGCATAATCTTGCTAACAGACAGGAGTGAATACTTAACCTCCTTGACGGAGGTAATTATGAACTAAAAAGGTTTTCTTTTCTTTTTATCCTAAATAATATTACATAATGTACCTCTTTTTATGCGTAATTGCCATTCTTGCACGAACCATGTCCAGCGGATAAGTGCACGATGCGGCGGTCACACCAGCTAATGAGCCAGCAAGAAATCGGTAGGGAGGAGATAACACCCTGTATCATTTGAGAAAAAAAAATATAGAAGAACTTTATAAATGATTGAACACAATTAAAGTAAACCCAAAATTAAGTTACAGAATCTTCTGTAAATTTTGATTTCCATACAACCACTACATGTTATCGCCAACAGCTTTCGGTGATGATTGGTCGGTTGAATCGAAGAGCCTTCCCGATTGCGTCGGGGACTGCTACGCTATACAACAATTGTGCTGAAGACACATGTAGCAATTTTATGGAAACCAGGCCCAAGACACCCACTGAAAACTACTTAGTCAAAATTAAGGTCCGTCCAGAATATCATACACATTTTTTTTACAAAAATGTGACATTTCTAAATATGGTCATGGTGACATCACATCATGACCATATATAGGTACATCATGACTATATATGGGCACACAATGCTCTTTTGTCAAAGAAAATTATTAGGAAATAGATATACTCTTTTATTTTGCGAAATAATACTTTGTACTCTATGTTGTATATAAAACTATATTTTATAAATACCAGGCGAGTCCGAAATAAAGTAAAAAAAAAACCAACATTAGACACACTTACTTGTCACCGTCTGGTAATAATAATTTTTTATATTGCTCATGAGATGCATACTGTATTGCTGCATATGGAATGATTCGAGCCATTGTGGCCGAGTTACCACGCCATAAACGAATGAATCCTTCATTTCTATACGTCTTGATTAGGACTCGTATTGCTTCACGTGCCGAAAACTGGAGTTGCGAAGCTAAAAAATGAAGATAGACACATACATGAAACACATTTAATATTAATAAATAAACATCATAATGTTTCCATGCTTCCTGATCCTGGGATGTAGTTATAAATATAGATTTTATAATGAACATACATAATAAAATTGGCAAAAATTGTCAGTTTAAAACCCTTACTTTGGAAAATGATTTTTGTTCTGTCAAGGGGTGCTATTGTGGTCTTGGCAACTACACCAGCGAGGGCGCCAGATGTAAGAGACGACAACACAGTCTTGAAATTGCTGGTTGCCTTGAGAATAAAGATGAATGTGTATAAAAATATTAATTCAATCATAAAATTTCAATAAATGCTTTATCTTGATCATCCATATGTTCACCTTCAGAAGAGTAGTGAATCCAGCAATTTCTGAGGGTCGGACCAAAGGGGGAAACTAAAGCCTCAGTCCAGTTCCTGGAATACAAAATCTATGGAAGGGTTCACAAGAAGAGTTTTTATGGATTAATATGGCTCAAATTGTGCTTTTAGACCAAAATATTACGGATTGGCAATCAAAATGAATTAGACAAATTATTATTTATCAATGATATTAATCTTGCTTGTAAACATATTGATATGATAATGTATGCTGATGATACAAATGTGTTTTATAGTCATAGTAATGTACAACAAGCATATGTTGTTATGAACCAGAAATTATCAATACTTTATAATTGGTTTACTGTTAATAAGCTTATGCTAAATATAAACAAATCAAAATACATTGTTTTTAAAGCTAGAAATAAAGTGGTTAACACTGTTAACGTAAATTTAAGAATTGGAAATGAAACAATCGCAAGAGCAACCGAAGTCAAATTCTTAGGCCTTTTTTTGGATGAAGCTCTGACATTTAATTATCATGTAAATGAAATTGCAACGAATGTTTCAAGGGTCATTGGTGTTCTTAACAAGATAAAACCAATATTATCAAGTAAAATAATGTTAACAATATACAATGCACTTATACTTCCTAGATTAACTTATGAAATTACATCATGGGGTACCATGTCTGCTAGTAATTTAAATCATTTGTACATACTCCAAAAAATGGCATTAAGAAATATCTGTCATGTTGACCGCTTGCATCCTTCACATCCTTTATTTATTATTACTCAAACATTAAATGTTTTGGATCTTTACTTAAAAAACTGTGCCATATTTATGTACCAATATTATAAGAATCTACTGCCTGTATCATTTAACAACCTATTTAAGACATTTGAATCATTCCATAACTATAGCACTAGAAATCGAAATAACATATGCCCTAAAAAAAAAAACGCACAAGCGTAGGGCAACAATCTATATCTTATCAAGGGGCAAAAATTTGGAATAATTTAAATGATGAATTAAAAGAGTCAGACTCAATAAGCAAATTTAAAAAGCAATTGTCTCAGTATCTTACAGAAAAACATAAAAATAAATGTTAACTATGATAGGTCCATATATTTTTTTTGTTATTTCTTGATGTTATACTCTTTATAATTTTGTATATTGTGTTTATATGTATTAATTAATTTTTTTTTTTTTCAGGGTTACATATTTAAAGCATTTTTCTTGCTTATTTTGTAACCTATTCCTTTATCCACTACCTTTGTATTTCTTTTGCTGATAATTGTATTGTTTGATATTGGAATAAAATTATTACTGAATTATTGAATTATTATTTTATAGTTGATCCGAGAGGTGTTTTTTTTTTTTTTTTTTTGGGGGGGGGTGCCACCACTGCTTCAAAATCCCAGATTTGTGGGTTCAAATCACTTCAGAATTGTTCTTTTTATTTTTTCAGTCTTGTTTCCCTACAAGTACAGTAGGCCTATACATTAGATACAATTCAACAGCACTAATTTCTCATAAAAAGATAACTAAGCACTTTGATAACAGTTCCAGATCCAGGAATTCAAATTTAGAGGGGGCCTAGGGGGAGATTTTCACAGATAGAGTGTCAACCCACCTAAGCCCCATGATGGCTGGGGTTGAGGTAAGAAAAATTATGATTACGCACCTCTAGATGGCCGGAAATGGCACTCTCAGACTTACATTTAAATATATTTTTTTTTTCTCTATTTTTAAAAAACAATTGATATTAAAGTTTAGGGTGGAGGGGCCATTGAAGCAGAGCGAATGTTTCCCTTCCCCATGCGCTCATAGTTACAAAATATCTGCACATAAAATGAATTCCCAGTCATGCTTACTTTTTCAGGTTGTTTTTGCATTTTCGCTTGCTCATCTTTTGATATTGAAATGTTGCATAGATGATGATGATCCTCCTGGATCAAAGTTATCGGGTGACCTTTCTCATCGAGACCACTATCTTTAACTAACATCGTCCCCTTCCTTTCTCATATCATTTAACATGACCTACTGCAGGAAAAAAAAAAAAAAAAAAAGAAACAAAAATTTACAAGATACTCGGGCCTATTACTACTAACTAGAAGTTGTTATCACATCACAGGATCAGGGCCTATTATGTAATGTACGCTTAGCCTAAGATAGTAGTAGTAAGCCCTGCCAGCTCCAAATGAACTGGCTGAGCATCTAATCACACCCATAATGTAACGTTTGTTTAGTTGCGCGGAACGGATGACACCTCAAAACTCAAATTTGCGTGGAATATCACTAGGAAATAGCTGCGGAGAATTGTAATTACTGCATAATACATTGGTCATATTAAGAAAAGCCTAATTTCTGGCTAAATTTGCGTGGAAATTGGCCCTTTTTATCCGATATGCGCCGACAGATTTCTAGGCCAAATATTTGCGCTGAGGATAAAGCCTAGGCCTATTTCCTGCACAGGTTTTTTGAAAGTCTGGGTCACCAAATATATTTTTTCTTGCATGTTTTAGTTTCTTTTTATCCGATATACGCCAACAGATTTCTATACCAAATTTTGCAGATGAGGATATAGCCAGGCCTATCTCGCACAGGCCTTTTACTTTTACAGTCAGAGTGTGGGTCACCAAGTTTATTTTTCCTGCACATGTTTTTGATTCTTTTTCTGTGTTACGTCTGTTGCCCGTGTCATGCACACTTAAGTATTTTTTATTCCTCAATGTCAAGTCCCAACTGAGGGACCCTTTCGAGTACTCAACGTAAACGTAAACATCGACTCAAGCAAAACTCATTGCCAAACCAATTCAACTAGAAATTTTACTCAATGTAGGTCTAGGCCTACAGTAGAAGGACCTGTCATGTTTGTCTGGGAAACTGTGGCGTATGTTGGTTTGGGAAACAGGGCCCACACCCCTCCAAATATTACTCGCGCCCCCACACCCACCCCCAATCATCAGGTAGTTAAAAATCACTTAAAATTACCTTATTTTGCAAATTAGCACCCCTCAAATAAACGCCACCCCCCCCCCGACCCAATCAGCACCCCATTTCAAGATATCTCGATAGTCGATACGCCACTGCTGGGAGGATGACCATGCAAGAAAAATGCGAGGCAAATTCAAAGACTGGCCACGACGGTCCTACTAAATACCACACGGAACCACTCGCGACCACACGGGACCGCTCGCGACCACACGGGTGCAAAAATGATAAAAATATTACCACACGAGAGTAGAAAACTACTTAATAATCAATAGAAACCAACTTTTAGTACGGTAATTA